ATTAAGTTACTAAACTTGAATATATGAACAATAGTTTTTAGAGTTCCATCCAATTAGAAAAAGTTACGAATAAATTATTTATTCATAACTTTTTGAGAAGATTTCAAGCTCGATGGCCGCTTAACATTTTTTATTTCTCTGCACTTATTTGAAGGTAAACAATTTCGTCTATGATCGACTGATTCGATCTTCTAATTTAGATCTTAATTTCATGTACACTTATTTATTTCCTTCTTATATGTTTCGTATTTCTTGAAAAATAAATTTTAACTTGTGCATATTTTTTTACTTCATTTCCTGATACTTCATACCTCAAATAACAGAACAAGACTGAGCCTTACCTTAAATTCGCACTATTTATTCAGTCCGAATTCAACAATAAAGTGATTACCGATAACGTATCTTTCTTCCATGTTGTTGCACCACGATGAGTTATCTCTGCCATCCTGCAACGCAAAGTTTAACAAAGCTGACCTTGTGATGAGCCTTCGTAATAACCCGTTAGCCTCGCGTGAGGACTCAAAAGTGCTAGCTGTACTAAGTACACTCACCTCACGTAAAAAATACTGCCATGGTCTCTTCTAAGATAATAACCAAGCTGTTAAAATCCTGGGATATTCACTGAATTTTAACGTTAATGCTTTTCTTCATGCTATACCTAATCACAATGCAAACCACTTTGTCGTACAAAATTTGAATACTAGGAATGTTGCTTAAAATTGCGCCACATCAAAATATGTTCGTGAATTTTTTGTTTGCCGTGATATCGCCCCTGTTATCGCACACAAATGAAGAGGCACATGAACACGGAGAGCTCCTGAGTCCTGGAGCGACACCACCACACCTTCCATCACAAGGGCTGCAGCCACACTGAATGATTGTTAAACTGTTGCGGTATTTTGTTCCGTGTTTCATTCCAGCTAACGAATTGAGTGTTGGACTTGAATGCCGTAAGACATTGTCATGTTCGAACCTCATTAGGATTTTGAATAATAATTCGATCAGTAATATTGTCTAGGGTGTTTAAAAATGTAGTAATTATAACGTAATAAGTGGCTAAGTTATAATGCAGGTTATATCAATGTAAATATTGCTAAATAATATATATATACACCCGTATCCCGCACAGTTTCACATCCTCTGCCGTATTAACGTACAAACGTTTCTACGATAATGATAGATTTTTGCCTGATTCAAATGCAAGCTACAAATTTATATTCTTCATATTTCCACAGAAGTCGTATTCAGTGATCTAGATTTTGGATGAGCTTCTAACTTCATTTGCTCATGAAACTCAGTAAAAATATAATTCAATGTCATATATTGAAATTTTTTGCCAATCTTCGGAAAAATTGGTCGTCATGATTAAAACGACTTACTAAGACGCTTGACACCTACAAGGAACTACTAAAAATTACCATATTTTTATTTCAATGATCAGATATCATTACATCATTGAGTATTCCATCCTACATCATCCCCGATTTGATCGCAGAATATTAATTTTATAGTAGGAAAATGAACTTGAATAAACCAGAGACTGAAAAATATATGTGCAAGCTCCCTACTTCGTCCGCCAATGGCATCTACCAGCAGAAAATGGGAGCCGTATTCTGCGTCAAATTATTTATTGTGCTCGTCTTTTTTGAGTGTTTGTTTATGCGTTTGTTTGAAGCTAAATCCAAGAAATTTATATGAGTTTATGAGCCAGTATCCGCAATACATGTTGTGCTATCGGGAAAATTTTAATTTTTGTTTTGATTTGACAGACTAGATTTTAGTTTATGAATATAATTTCTTTCAAACTTTTGAAAATGATTTACATAGGAATCCTTAATAAGTATATTTTAATGTGTCTATTTCCCATTAAAATTACTTTAATTTGGAAATTATCTGTGAGATTTGCTCCTATGGGACTTGAAATTCGGGATTTCTACCACGAACAACGCCTGGTCAGCTGCTGGTTACATGTAAACAGTATCAAGTTTCAAATCTATTTATGATAAATTCTGAAAATTGGTGTAATTTGGCAGAAATTTTTCTTAATGCAAGTTTGATTAAAGACCAGAGCATGTTTTTTATTAATAATCTTCTTGTTCGTTTTTTCCAGGAGCAGAATAAATTTTCTTGCTGGAGCCGGGAGATCAAAAAGCTAGTATCCAAATGACATTTTAATAGATTGCGACGTTTCGAAAATACAATTTTCATTATCAAGCTGGTGAAAGTTTTTGCAACACTTGAAATTGAACTCTGCAAATGACAGAAGTACAAATCAATGGTATAGTGGATACAAATTAAAATATTAGCTTAAAACTACTCCTAAAATAATTTCAGCGACCGGACAAATCCTGTAGTTTGGAGGTTGATAGCTGGAGACTCGCTCTTGATAATGAGGGCCTCAGCTATCGCCAGTCTCTATGGGTCGGGGCACCACATAACTATGCTGGTGCAGGCCTCCAATGTCGCTCGGGTGATGGTCTCATTGTGAGCCTCCCGCATGTGGATCTTAGGTCCTCCAGATTGTAGGTGGCATGTGAGTCGTCGGCTTCAGGTCGTGCTAGTAAGACCAATGTAGTTTATGTTTTGAAGAAGTCTACAACCTTCTTTATTACATGAGACTTCACAAACAACATTAGTTTCTTGAAGCATTATTCATTACAAGGTTTTCAATTTTCTTATTTTCGTAGTAAATCAGAAGTTTTATTTTTCCATTGTCCGCTGTGCTCTTGATATTATTATGGATTATTGATTGAAGGACTCGCTCATCTATATTGTAGCCTTTGTTCGTATGATTTTAGTAGAAGATTGCTGTGTCGTTTCCATTAGATATTGCTGCATTGCTGGTTAGGTTATTTCTGGAATGATAATTTGATATTTCAGAGTCGACTGTTCTATTTGAAAACCCATTATTCAGTAGGATTTGTTTACACGATCTAAGTTCAGTTTTTAAATCACTTTCGGATGTGCAGGTCTTGAAAGCTCTTTGTATGAGAGCGCGCACAGTGCTGGTTTTATAGCGTAGAGGGCATTCACTTTTTCGTTTAGCACTTTCCGATATCGGTAGGTTTTCGGTAAACATCAGTTACATAGGAATTATCTTCAATCCGTACTAATATATCTAGGAATGGCAGTTTATGGTTTTGTACAATTTCATGGGTCAACACCAAGACAGAATCCTGTTCCAAAGCTCGGTGAAGTTCCATCAAGTGCTCTTCGTCACGAATGACAACGAAAATGTCATCGACTACTTGAAAAAAAACGAACAAGAAGATTATTAATAAAAAAATGCTCTGATAAATCATTAGTAGACCCAATTATTCAATGAAATTATGCAATCTAATGCTATGGGGAATTTCAAATACTGTGCCATGTAGCGAATGATGCCTGGTAATGTTTTATATTTTCTAATATATAAATGTCAAATATTTAGCGATTTATAAATTTCCTCAACTCATTGCAACAGTCAAACAATCAGTAAATCCATAACAGAGATAAATAATAAAATCTTTATCAACAATTATTTGTCTAAAGTTTGCGGAATGAACATTTAATGCTAAACTATCTATAATTGGTACAAAATAATCGTTTGAAATGCTGCAGATTAATGAGATAATTTGTAGAGGTAAATAATAAAAATTATTGATTTATAATGATTCTGAAAACATAAGTTACAACTAAAACATCTATACATTACAGCAACGCACCAGTCAACAAAAAAACTCCACGGAAATTACTCCTAACATTCAAGTACCGCGGGGGTTCATCAGTGTATGATCTGTGGTGGCTAACCCAACCGATTAACATCAACTGATATTTCGATTAACTTTCTCCTCGATAATTATTTTTGATTTAAATAAGAAATGCAGAATAATTCGTGTGGTTATCATTTGTTTGGGAAGTTCGTAATCCTTGTCAAATCTCAATATGAAAATTAAATTTGAACAATAAACTCGAATCGCCGGTTGGGCATGTGGCAACGCCAAATAATACCTCTAGATAATGAATTTACTACACGACCTGACATATAAATAAATTACTATTTCCTCTGCGAAGTGATTTATTTGGACTCAGTTGAATTAAATTTTCAAACAACGCATCTTTCTGCATTGTAAATCTGGAAATTTTTAGCCAAATATAGTAAAAAAATCTCGAAATAAAAAAGAAGCATTATTCAATTATTATTGACTCAGTAATTACAAATAACATATGAATAAATTACTTCAATTGTATTTCATTTCCAAGAAAAAAGTTAATTTTCGAGAATCGGGACTCGGTTCGACAAAATAAAAGATCGAATCTAGGTATCTTCGATGCATGAACGAGAGCTAACAGCTTCAGCAACAAGTTTTTATTCGAAATTTATATCGTACACTTGAATGGTGGGCACTGTAGGTGAATCATTGATTAACCATTCATCAAGGTATCTAAACAATCAATTTTACATTCTCCGATTAAGCTTCAAAATACGAAATGCATGATGGCAATTTTTCACAGTGCCCATCGAAGATGAATCGGTGATAAATACCCTAGTATGTTACCGATTTACCAATAACTTCCCTAGACGTGCTCACACGCTAGTTTCTTCTTCCATTTCATTTCGTCCTCATAGCTAGAATCTTATATTAGCTTATTTCTTGGTTAGATGACTTCCCGTTTACAAAAGTCAGAATATTTCTTCAATAATGCCGATCTGTTTACGCTTTCAAAAGTTTAACAAATCTTCCGACTTTCGAAGTTGAAAATATTTCAAATACGGTTGGACGCTTTCTGGGTTTACGTGCAATTTTAATAGATTTCTCCTAACCAAACAAGTCAAAATTAACAATTACTTGACGAGGTCGAGTAGGAGAATCAAGTCTGTTGTTCGCCTTCACTTGGCAGCACACGCACAGATATAATCTCTTCATGGCAACTAAATAGCAAAGTGACTGGGGCAAGAACAGGATGAAACTTCGCCGACGAAAAACTATGAGGAAGTGGGATAATAAAACCAACAAAAATGCAGTTCATTAACTTCATTTCTCATAATTTCATTGGGGGCGCAGAGGAGCGGCAGGAGAACATTTCTTTGACAATGAGCAGAGGTCTCGTAGACAAGTTATTCACATTAGACCCCATCCTACCGCCCACCAGTACCTGGTTGAATCTAAAAGCAGTTTATAATTATGAAAAAATACGATTTTTTCCAGAATTGATAAATGAAGAGCTTCCCACCACCTCAATATCATCATCACGTTGTCGTCGCTTGTATCAAACCCTTTCATTTATCATCTAGAACACAAAACGTTTAAAATAACCGCGCACCAAAGAGCTGTACAAAATAGATTCCTTGAAACAACATGAAATGTAAGGCATATGGGTAGTCTATGTAACTTTGATGTGTCAAAATTAAGCAAGAATTATTCCTGTCGTAAAGTAATGTTTGTTGCCTTCTGAACAAGGAGGAAATTCATCAGAAAAAAATAAACTAAAACGGTGTCATGTACTCGTTTAACATTTAACATAAGTTTGAAACAAAACATTTTTCTACAGAATCGTCAATTTCACGAAATTCAGTGCCGATAAATTTGCACACAGATATTAATACTTCATAAATTTTTGTAGCACAAAGGATAAAAACATCACAACGCAGAATAAAACTTGTTTCGTCAGCTAGAATCCGATGACAAGAGCGCCCTTAAATGGAGTAACATGTATCAAAAACAATACTCAACTTACTAAAACATCTCGTATTATTAAGTTCATGATTAGGTAAAATTGAAGCAGATGTTGAAAGAAGAGAACAGAATAAATTGAAGCTTCGACAGTAGAACGGCACAGAACATAATCATTTAACATCACGACCACTGCTAGAGTTCCTTCCCATCAGTCGAAATCACACGTTAGAATTTTTACACTGCCAAGCTATTGATCATTGTCTTCTAAATCATCCGTTCCTAGAGTACTATGAATACTTTATGTACATTAGTCACAAAATTGGACTGCAAAGCAGACAACATTAATGAACATATTTACATCACAAAGCTCTAAAGAATGACCCAATCGAACTTTTCCTCACAATTATAGCACTGATTTTGTCTAGCCGGATACTCTTGATACAAAAAATCTCGATGCTCACATCTATGAAACGAATCATCATTCTCCCGCAAGATTACCCCACAATAATTTGGCTTCAGTTCACATGTAAAACTTGCCGCAAACTGTCAAGTTTCATAAACAGGAAAGGCGGGAGGTTCCCTGTTGATAGAACTTAACAAGGTTTCAACTGTACCAGGTAAGAAATTTTTTAGAATTCTTCAACAATCATGAGCTCTAAATAAAAGTTGACTTGAAAAACATCATTGGTTTTAAATGTTTGGATGAAAGTGTAGCTTCTTTGTTCCTGAGAACTTGCAACGATACGATTTCATAATATACGACGAATTCAAGCTCGACAGATTTTTTAACTCTGCAGTTAAGTTAATATAATAATCGAAAATGTGCAATATCTGCAGTCAAAATAATTAATATTAGTTGAAGTTGAACACGTTAAGAAATCCGGATACCACATCAGATCGGATTAACTGAGTACAATCTTTTTCCAGTATGCTGGAGACAAGTACGTCTTGATTGTAATTCATCAACACCGCATATGACAACTTCTGACTCAAATAATTCAAGTTTGAAATTTTCAACACTCTGAACGAAAAAAATACTGTTCATTCTATAGTTGTGAGAGAAAGTATAGAACGGCGGCCTCAATCATCCAGCTACTCAAAGATTCGGCCAGGTTTTCAGTCCTGCATAATGCAACGAACCCAGGTACAAATTTTGGAAATCGTAGTGCACTCATGGGCACGACAAATGTAGAGAATATCGGTTTTTACAAGTCCCCTTCACCAGCCAATAGTTCTTTCTCTAATTCTTCATCGATTTCATCACCATCATCCTCATCTTTCAAGTCGTCTTCCATGGAATCTTCGATCGTTTTAGACGGATCCTTCTTACTTCCCTTTTTTTCTTGTACTTGATTCACTTCCTTGTCGTCTTCTGGATTGTTACTATCTCCCAAAAGTTCATCTTCATTCATGGGGCTCTCAGCGTCATCCCTTTCCTCTCCGCCTTTGGGTTCTTCTTCATTCATTAGTTCTGAATCCTTAGCTTCTTCAGAACTTTCGGCCTCTCCATCAGCAGCCTTACTCACAGCCTGCAGGTGCCGTTCAAGCATGTTATCTACCAAGTCTGCGATGTTTGACTCGTCTTGCTCTCTGCCTTCACCTTCCTCTTCTTCTCCGTCCTCCTCCTCCTCTTCCTCCTGATCTTCGTCTTCATCTTTGTTATCATGGTCGTTTCCAGCATCATCTTTTTCATTATCATCTCCGTCCTTTTCTTTCAACTTTTTGTTTGTTTTCAGGTCTTTTTGTTTTGCTTTGCCGGGTTCAGACTCAGGCTCGCTGCCTCGACTCAAGGTCACTTCTTCTATGCTGGTGTCAGCTTCTTCAGACTGAGGTGGAGGAGCGCTGCGTTTTTTGGTCGCTAAATGTGAGTATTTGCCTTTTGCGGGATTGGTGTTGCTTGCAGGCATACGGCGCGCGTTTGCCATGTGGTGTGATCGCCGTACTTCACCTTCCTCCAAATGGTCTTCATCATCATCGTCGAAGTGCAGCTCCTCGTCTCCCTCTACCATCTGACCCATGTTGTCTTCACCAATCTCACACTCCAGATACTTGGCCATGTCAGCTTCAGCTTCCTCGTCTGAATCCATCATTTGGTCGTCATCGTAGTCAGAGTCGCCATCTTGCATCATATTCCTTTGCATCATGTGCATATTCTGAGCTCGCATCATGTTCTGCCGAGTCATGGCGTTGGATCCTCTCATCATCTGTTGAGCCCGGGACATGTTGTGGTCCCGCATCATTTGGTTGGATTGCCTGATACCGCGAGGGTTTCCGCCATGCGGATGGTATGAGGTAGTCACATTTCCTGCCATTTGACGGCTATTAGCGAAGTGTCTGCCTCCATGAGCACCTCCGCCTTGGCGAGAAGGAGGCTGCTCGTTACGCCTGCATGTGATCGAAACGTTGTAATTTTTAAGTCGTTTCAGTGTGTCTTGTACTGAAGACTCGCCGCTGCTGTCCTCATCTGAGTAGTCATCCATGTATTGCTGCTGCATCATCTGCTGGTACTGTCGCTGCCGTGATGAGAATCGCTGCTGAGGCATCTGCCGGTATTGTTGATGGTGACCATAATTACCGGATGAGTTGTGATACTGGCCACTCATCATCGGACGCTTAGATGATATAGAGTTCTGAGGTCCAGAATATGGTCGCTTGGAACCTCTGTTAACCTGCACTGTAGTACCCATAAGCTGAAACTGCTGAGGAAGACGAGGCTTGGGAGGCAGTGGTCGAGGATTGCTGTTCACGGGTGGGTCTAAAATAACACAGTCGTCGTCATCATCATCTTCAGGTACGGGAGGAGGGCGAGACTGGGAGGTGTTTGTTGCAGGTCGTGGTTGTGCATTTCCTTGCATGCCACTCGGCCGGTTGCCGGGCCCCGCTCGGTTGTTGGGACGGCTGACGCTAACGGACGATGACCGGAACGAGTCCTGAGGTCCACCCGATCTAACAGAACGCCCTGAGTTGGATTGCGACTGGCGGTTGTTCGATGGAGGCACGTGGTTGGTAACTTCTACACCCTGTTTTCTAAGAATAGCATGTGCCTGTTCCTTAGAGTAAACGCTGATTGTAAAGTCTTCGCACCTTAAACCCATGGACTTAAGAGTCTCCTTTACATCAGAGCGTGACACGGGCGCTTGAGAGGAACTCGTAGGAGCAACGCTGACGGTTTTATTCTGCTTGTTGACTGATATAAGATTATCAGCAGCAGTTGTGGTGGTGATGGTGTGGCCGGAGGAGCTCACAGTCACCAAGTTCTCGTGCTTAGGAGGCCGGTGAGCATAAGAGAGCAAGCGCTTTCGACTAGCAGCGCGATGTTCCACTTCATCATCCTCCTCCATATGTTCTGGTCTGTGAGGATACGTAGAGTTGTCCAGAAGGATGGTCGGGTACCGAGATTGTCCTGAAAATAAAATCGAGTTCATGGCAGTGCCAACAACACTTACGGTTAGCTGTAAAGATTTGTCAATGATAATTTTAAGCTAAAGAGCACAGCCAACAGGGTATTGTGAGTAGCTAACTCTTCTTGCGAATATTTCCAACTAGCAGGTTAGCTTGGCGTTGCCGGATTAGATAATTCCTGTAATTTTGAAATCCAGTTATGCCAAATCCCGTCATTCTCGTATCCTTAATCACATTAGAAATAATAAATTCTAATTCAATTAAGACTTTTTCAAACCCATATTTTGCGCAGAAAAATAAAATTTCCTTTCATATTTTCGCACAAATGATGAAATTTCAGATGCAAATAATAACCCGACACAGAAACGATATGTATCATCGACACGCGCCAAAACAGCTCTTTTATACTATTAGTGGTTCCAGGCTTCAAACACACGCACATTTATTAACAAGCATATAAACTTTAGCTAATCGATACAAGATTAATATTTCAATCAGCACTTTAAGATGGGGCATTGCAAAATCATATAGAAAATAACAGAAGATCAATTGGACAACCAACAAGCAACCAACTCAAACGTATCGACTGATTCACTCACCAGATGAAAGTGTCAGGTACAAAAAGGGGCTCACGTGGGCCACGAACGGGTGACAGGCGGCATCTGCAGGCACGACGCGTTGCTCTGCAATAAAAAGTATCATCCAGTTTGAATACTTACATATCTTAGTATACTTGTAGGTTCATTCTTCATTAGATTTCCTGGTAATGCAAAAATGTGTAGGAACTCTCAATACTAGTTATAAGGACTAATAATAGGCTAATATTTTTACATTTTTTGTAATAGTTTAATGACTCGAGGGAGTATAGATTGGCTAAGTTTTAAGCATTTCAAAAGACCGACCATTCTTGTAAGATCTGCGTCGCAGTAGTGTATGAATACAAGTTAAAAGATTGTTGTAGAATTAAAACATTACGGCACTCATATACCTACTACAGTTCGTCTATCACCATTAACTTCATTTTAAATACCTATAAGATTTTGCGCACGACATTGTTATGCAACATACTAAGCAATTTTTACGTCAAAAACTCATTCCAAAGTCTCGATATCTTCCGTTATAGGTTGAAGTTACAATTAAAATAGTAATCATATCTAATGTAGTACCTGGCACATAAGTAAGCATCCTCTCGACCAAGAGCAGGAAGGCCATGTCTGTGCATTTGTTGAGTCGCTTGGAAAGATTTTCGATGCGCTGGTAACGCGACAGTGGCCGTCCTATGAACTCGGCGAACTCCTCTCCACACATTCCTTCGCTGAACTCCTTAGGGAAAGGCCCAAGCAACTTGCAGATCTGTTCATAAACAAGAAATACGTGCATAATTAGAATGGATTTTAAAACCTGTAAACTCAGCAACTTGCAGATCACAAGCAATAAGTGTATAATTGCAATGAATTTCAATACCTGTGAAATCAGCATTTTGCATACTGTTCATAAACAAACGATACGCGCATAATTAGAATGAATTTTAGAACTTGTAAATCCAGCAACTTGCAGATCTGGGGCCGCATTATCAAAACTTCGTAACTTTTTGTACTTCCGACAAAAAAGTTACGTGTTACGTAAGTATACCCTAATTTTGGCATTATCAAAACATTCGTACGTAAGACTAAGCTAAAAGCGTACTACCAAAACCATCTGGCCAACTGACCAATCAGAGGCTTTGGATTTGTTTACATTCTGTGAGCTTCGATGGCGGGAATCGATGCCTTCGATGGTATCGACTATCGAATGCTGTCTGTCGGTATTGCTCCTTGTTGGCCCAGAAAAAAGCCGTTCTAAAATAGTTGTGAACTCTTTTTAATTAACAGCGTGAGTTGAAGAAGAAATCTGTGTACAGAGCTAAAAATTATGGTTGGCAAAGATATAAAGTACCGACTAGAAGGAATGAATGAATTGAATTTTTGAAAATGAATGAAAAAAATTTTGGAAAAATGAATTGAATTTTTTTCCAATAGCACTGCTTAGCACGATCACATATTTTGATCGTGCAAATGTTGCACGATCAAGTAGTGGAGCCATCACAAGTAGAGCCATCATTCTATGCGTGTATAATCCGCGCTGTCTGATTATTGACAAAATTCTATCACAAATCACGGCGTTGCTACTTGCTAGTAAATCAATAGTTTCCTATTGCTTCAGCAGACACTATAAACTTGTGTGGAACTCCACTTACGACATCTCCGAGCAGGCGTACAGTTACGTTACGTAGCTTCTCGCGCAAATGTTTTGATAATACCACCTCTAGAGTTACGTCGTCAAGTCAGCACTTACGCCTCTCGTCAGTCGATTTTGCGTTCTTACGAACTTTTGATAATACGGCCCCTGTTCATAAACAAGCATTACGTGTAAGATTTGAATGAATCTCAAAACCAGTAGATTCGATCAGACAAATAAGTAAATTGCTTTAAGCAATAGGACAGCCTGCAGATTTATTTAGAGATCAGAAATAGGTACGATATTAGGATGTGTAGGAAAGCCAACAGATCTGATCCAACACGTACTTGAATGATATAGGTTAAAACCGGCCAATCTGGTCAGATATAAATGATTTGCTGGCAAGCGATTAAGAAGCTAAGCTGATATATCAAGATGCCTAAACTTGTTAGGTGTTTATATTGACATAGATTACAATTTAGATTATAATATTAAAGATTATATAAAGAAATGTATATAAAAGGAACAGTAGAAAAGCGACCGAATCTTAGCAGGAATAAGGAATATCAGATAAAATTATAAAAAATACTAAATTTGTAACAATTAGGATCATTTTTTTGTAACGACCAAGATTAGATAAGATAAAACCTAAGCCGTAAGATATGGCAATATTAATTTTTTAAAATAATAATTAAAGAAGTATTGTTAAACCTATTGTTTGGTTTTTAATAGTCTTCAATGAATTTTAAATATATCAATACAATCACATGGAAAAAATCAGATAAGAAGCTGGGATCGCTAAAAATAGGATATGAAATAAAAAGAACCCAAATTTCGCAACAAATTTTAATTTGAGATCTTCTGCATCGTTTATTTATGACTCACCTTTGTAAGAATTTCCTCTTTGGTCTTGCCAAAGAATAGAGGCTTCCCAATGTAGCACTCAGCCAACAGACAACCAAGGCTCCACATGTCAACCTATGGCAACATATGAACATTAGATTTATCATTCAATAGTTACCAAAATCCAGCAAGATAAGATGGAATTCTAGTAATTGCAGTTCATGTATGCAATATCGATCCAGCTGGATCGCTTCTTCAGTCCAAAAATGCCAGCTAATTTGTAGAGTAAACACTCAGGTCGTCCGAGCCTAAGAGACGTAGGAGGCTGTTTGCATCTTACAATCCACAATTACTCACTGTAACTAGCCATAAAGCATGGAAAATCTTATCTTAAGAAATTAAATTAGTAAATAAGTTTAAAATTGGACTGATGACGAGGATAAAAAGGAAACTTGTGGCCAACTAGGGATAGAAAGCATGTGGGGTAAAATAATTTTGGTGTAAAATGTACAGCATGACACATTTCTAACCTGAATAGACCCACAGCAGTGGTTCAGCAGGAAAGGAATAATTTTCTTCCTAAACTTATAAGATTTAATTACTTTGCAAGATTTGTTCTTTACAATGCATTTCTGAAGTGTACAACATTATGGAATTACCAAGAAATGTCTACATAAAATCGAAACTATACGATAAAACTAAATGAACAAACAACATTTTCATCGTTAAAAGGGTTGAACATGATGTTAAGTAATTGTTTCAGTGTACCCTCATATGAGTAAGTTAAATTGGTTTCTGCATCTTAGCTGACATTAACGCCAACATATAACCCAAGTGACTGTAACAGAATTCATAATTAGAATTCATCATCAGTCACTACAATTCGTCACTTTTGTGTACTGACTTACGGAAAAAAAAAATGTTATGGCTCTGTTATTCCTTTGTTTATTGGTTGAGTTTTAATTCAAATACAAAATGGCAAACCTCTAAACTGAAGCGGAGACCAAAGATGACTTCAGGAGCTCTGTACAGCAGCGTCTGCAGCTCAAAGTCTGAGTAATAGAGCGACAGTTCCTCCTCTGTGTTGCGAAGGGCGTTGCCAAAGTCCACCACCATGATGCTATTCAGGTCATTTTCTAGGAGAAAGGCAGGTTGTTAAAGTAATTATTTTATTTAAAGCAGTTTGAGACCATCCTGCTCCAGCAGTTTACCAAAGCAAAATAATAAGAATAGCATGTACGATATACTTCACAACTCCCGATATAGTAGTCTATGATTCTTCACTACCAATAATTATCAAATATTTTGATATCCTAAGTAGGGTACAGAATAAAAGTACTTCAATTCAGTGCAATCGAGAAGTGACGGTAGGTATTTCAAGTAATACCGAGGTAATTATTTCAAGATGATTCCAATGGGGACGAATCAAGAACTATATATTGGCATATCTTGCTTCTTCCTAATGAAAATTATTTAAAAGAATAATTTCACGATTGTGCTGTCATTTTCATCAACTTTTCACCCAGATTCTCGCATTGCATTACAACTGTTAAAAATAACTTGTCCGATTCAATAATTCTTGGACCATCAACAAACTTAGAATAAAAATTGAATGGTATTGTTGAAAAACGAAGCACACAGAGTAAAAGAAGTATACTGCAAAAGACGAGATTTAGATATATTGTTGTATTTTCCATACCGGTCAAGTGAAGTAATTCTAGAAATTTACAATATACCACTTTCAGTTAGGAGAAATACAAATATTTACTGAATATTTCACACAAAATACGTGCTTTTGTCGTGGTGTAAGTGCGATTTTCGTGAATACTATGCAGGAAAAGCACAATTCTAGGGTATCAGCTAAGCAATTAAAAGCTAATTGCACATTAACTTGACAACTAAAAACCCAACACACGCAGAATATTCCCACATGAAGTAGAACATTGAATATCAACGAGATGCCAAATTTGTTTCAAGCAAGGCAATTGTGACTTTTTTATAGGATACAAATTTCTTGTACCGACATGACAAAAGCAGAGTATTATTACACAATACTTACAGGAAACAAGAGAGAGTAAGGACCTCAAATTCCACTTACCGTCCCGCAATAAAATATTCTCAGGTTTGAGGTCAGCATGAATAACGTTCTGTTTCTGCAAGAAGCCCATGACAGTGAGAAGCTTGACTGCGAGGTGCCTGATGTAGGGCAGGGAGGAAGCGCCTCTAATATCCTTCTGGTCGTAGTAAGTGTAGAGCGGCGTGGGCAGCAGGCAATCAAAGACCAGACAGTAGTGAGGCCCATACAGGAACTGAGTCTGCACATGGAAATATTTGTAAGCTTAACAATACGGTTGATTGCAAAGGTCTTGGTGAACAGAATTTCCAATTAAATGAGCATAAAAAATGTTTCAATGCAAGTGCCTTGAAAAATATAGAAAACGACTTAGAAGACTTTAACACATAAGAAAAATAGCTGGAAACATAATACTTTGAAGAAAATTCAATGATAAGAAATATAGGTATGTGTCGGGAAATTAAACAGAATCATCAAGATATAGATGTTCAGTTAATAAAGATGTAAGATTCTTTCAGTCCCAAGGGGTTTCATAATTTGAAGTAAAATTTTAAATGCACAAAAATTCACTAATAAGAAGCAAATACCTATGACTAATGTTAATCAGTTGAGATCATTCACTGTTCACCAAATAATCCTTAGTATGCACTTGGTAAAATAAGCAAAGGGCACATAGAAGTATTGTTATTATAACCTAGGCTAAGGGCACTTGCTAAGTAAGGTTACCGTACCTTAACACGAGCAAAGGGTGCATGGAAGTATTATTATTATAACCTATGCTAAGGGCACTTGCTTAGTAAGGTTACCGTAACACGAGCAAAGGGCACATGGAAGTATTTTCATTACAACCTAGGCTAAGGGCACTTGCTTAGTAAGGTTACCATACCTTAACACAAGCAAAGGATGCATGGAAGTATTTTCATTACAACCTAGGCTAAGGGCACTTGCTAAGTAAGGTTACCTTAACACGAGCAAAGGGCACGTGGAAGTATGGGTCTGCTCTCTGGAGCTCAAGAAGAATATCAGCCTCTTGAGAGCCAATGGGTTTGTAGACTTGATGAAGAACTTTGATAGCAAGTTCTTTATTTTTGCAGAAAGTATCTTCAACTTTGATGATGAGGGCTGACTGACCACGGCCTAGCACCTGAGAAAAAAAAAATAACTTTACTTCGAAGCAGAGAGCAACGAAATGATAGTTTGAGGAGTTGAACCTTTCTTACCTTGAAGTAATTATTTGAGTGACTATTGAATTAAATCATTAAGAATAAGCATAATTATGAACTCAGTACGGATTTAAAGGTATATTAGTGAATGCTGGAACTAAAGGATTAGCAATGAACTGCAATAATATTGAAACTGGACTCACCTGGAGATATTTATAGCGGTTGGCAAGAAGAGGCATGCCTACAACAGGCACAAATTCACCGTCCTCGTCGGTGAACTCGGTTGTCTCTGGATAAGTAATTAAATTTAGTGACTTGATGCAAAATGGGTGTATATATATGCTCATACAAAGAAGACAGTAAAATACTATACAGAATTTCAGAAAAATTTGTATAACTGATAACAGAATATAAGGAGCAAGCAAATTTAAAATAACTATGTTTGGGCATCATTTCAGGACATTTGTTTTGGCAATAAAAGAGCTTTAAGTATTTTAATTTCATAGGGATTAGGGAAATTTAATCTAAGGAAGTTGATCTCTAAATATTCAACTCAGAACATTAAATACATACACATTTAAAAAAATCAGATAGACAAAAAATTTCACCAATGACAAAAAATTTACACAGTTCATTAGCAGACTTTGTTCTAAGTTTTTTTATGCCTTGAATATTAGCATCAAAATACATCAATAAAATTTCAGTAAGTCAATGACAAAATATCGAGCTAACCTTCTTCTTCCTCTTCCTCCTCATCATCTTCATCATCAGATTCTTCCTTGGCTTCTTTCTCAGATTTCTCTTCCTCTTCTAACTCAACTTTTTCCTTATTAGCCTTATCTTTCTCAGAACTTGATTTTTCTTTGTTCACTTCATTTTCTTTCACAATTTTGCTTTCTTCATTATCATTTTTATCTTTCTCTTTGATTTTGTCAATCTCTTTCTTCTTGTCAGCATCTCCATCATTTGAGCTGATGACTTTTTCATTTTCATTAGACTCATTTTCTTTATCTTCAGAACTTTCATTTATAGTTTCTTTCTCTTTATCATCAGTTCCATCCTCTTTAAGGTCATTTTCCAATGCTTTCTTTTTCTCTGGATCATCTACTTGAGACTTTTCCTCCTCAGTTTCCATGTTCTCCAATTCTCCATTGCTTAATTCTTTAGCTTCTGTGTTTTTATTTTCTTCGCCATTGATTTCATTTCTGCTGGATTCAGCTTTATCTTCCAAGGCCAACTCTTTGGATTCTTTTTCAGTGGATTTGTCATCTTTAGATTCTTCATTGTCCTCAGAAGAAACTACCTGATTCTTATAGAAGTCAGTCAATGGAACTTTTTCAACATCAGATTTTTCTAGAAGGATTTGATCCTCTGACTTAATTGGCACATCTTTGCAACCATTATCTTGTCTTATCTTGGATATTCGTTTGTAGAGATTTGTTAGGCCTCCAGTCATGTGCACCATCGTGTGCTGCTTGGGAGGCCGGATCAGCGGCAGGTCGTCCAAGCAAAACCTGGGAACAATTGGTGATTAAAGCATCAACAAGGAAAATTAATACTTTAAAATTTAATGACAATTCAAGTTTGTCTAACTTTGTCATGCCGCTACTAATAATTGAGTCTGGGAACTGAACTGAGGCCTACAAATAAATGTTTCATGATCACAATCCTGCAGATTGCTTCATACAGATTGACAGGACACTTGTCTCCCTGGTTGGAACCAGCTTAAAATAGGCAATTTACTCCTGGAGTTATAATCAGATTTTACTGGATCATGACCTCAAATTTCTTGGTAAACTACAAATCCTTACTTATTCTAAGGCATTTGGAGATTGGGGTCAAACTTTTCACAGTACATTGATCCCAAATTTTTTTTTTTAATTTATTTTAGAGATGGAAACCTGCCTCCAAAGGATTGTTTGAAATTGGGATTTTTAGAAACAAACGTCATTCCCTTCAAGAATTCCAAAATTTTTATGAAATCTAGCTTTGAGCACTGCCTCTTTCCAAATTGTCCAATTAACCCATTAAAGCCAAGAATTATTTGGGGGACAATTAAAGATTTTTTTCAGTTTGAATACTTCATTTGGTCATTGTTAATCTATTAAAACATTCATTTTTCAAAAATTGTAGATGAAAGCTAAAATATGGCCTGGCAACTAAAGTTGTTATTCGGCAGTAAGATAACAAATATGAACTTCTATGGAATGTATGGTAATAATATTGAGTAGGGCCAATAAAACTCAATTTGTTGTAGACAAATTGAAACAATGAGACAAATATTTTGGATTGATAAATGATTTATCCATTCAGTATTTAAATCATTGATAAACTCATGAGAAAATGGCCAATAACATTTATCATGATAAACATCATTAATTACCACTGCGGCATAGAAGAATAATCATCATAAGGATAACTTTCATGCAACCTGGGTGATGAGCAACAGTGCATAATTTGCATTTGCATGCAGTCCTTCTTATGCTTTTTGACATTTTGTATACCTTGTATCTCCTTTCACTATCCAGTATATAGTTGCTGTAGTTATCTGGACAATATTCTAAGCGGGTCCATGTGATGCAAATTTAGAACTGCTTTACTTCCTGGCTGGGCGGATTCTTTATGGTTCCTATAATAACATCTCTGATGAATTTCAACCACTGAATATTGGTACCGGTGCCTCATGTATTGAAATATCTCCAAGCATTTACAGCTTGGGCACTAACTATGGTGGTGGCCCAGAAAAGGCACCACCACAATTTTTCAAAGTGAATTTTGGATCGATAAGTTGCTAATTGTTGGTGAAACAAATCAGACCAGTAGAGCCTTCTATGAGGCAGTTTATTGTGTCAAGAGAGAAGCAATACTGGCAGAAATACTCCCATGCTAGCAAAACTGATCTCATTACACTGCAGATTATATTGCTGAGCATATAATTAGCTCTGTTCACGTAAATGGTTTATCCATTCGTTAGTACAGAAGTAATTCATTGCGTCTAATGAGGAACTGTAAAATGGGGTGACTTAGACCGGCGGGGTGACTTAGACCGGCGGGGTAACTTAGACCACTTTTCATTTTTTAACAAAGACCCCCAAAACTCAGAAACTATTTGACATAGAAAAATTTTGTCAATGGGCATTAAAGGCCTAATACTGAGGCTATGTAACACAATAGAAAGATTTTAAAAGTTTGCATATCTAATAGGTTAAAAAATTAAAAATGTGACCCATGAAAAAAAGCTATTATTTAAAGCCTGTCAGAGTACCCCCTACAATTTTTTTATTTTTTGGTTAAACAACTCCAGGCATTGATGCATTGTAGTAGAACTCTTCTAGTTACTTATGCAAATGACAAATTTTAGGAAAGTGTCATAGTTTGCAAATGGGGGGCGCTGCCCCCAAATGGGGGAACTTAGACCACCTAATGTCAGCCCTGACGGGGTAACATGGACCGGCTTGGAAGTTAATATAAAATTACCATATATAACATATTTTATGTTTGACAGCCTATTTGTTTTTCCTTTATGTTTCAGACTCTACAGAGTCTTATATATAGAAATTTTAACTTAAATTCCAAGCCAGTCAATATTTACTCCGTAAAAGCTGCCATTAGGTAGTCAAATTTCCCTCATTATGGGGCAGCACCCCCCCTTTGCAAACTATGACACTTTCCTCATGTTTGTCATTTGCATATGTAAATAGAAGAGTTCTACTACAATGCACCAAAACCTGGAGTTATTTTGAGTTATTTTACCAAAAAATATAATTGATTTTACCACCCAGTCTAAGTTACCCCAAGAGCTGGGGTAACAAAGACCATCACTTTTTTTTTAAATTACATAAAGACTGTGAGAGGCAAAAGCCAGCAATTTATGGTGAGTGAAGCTAGAGTATAGACCTGAATTTTGCATGTTTCAATTCAAGTTTAATTTAGCTAGTAAAAAAATGGCATCATTTATAAAAAAAAGTGGTCTAAGTTACCCCATTTTCCATAAAATGAGGTTACTTTGACCGGCAGGGTAACTTTGACCACTTTTCATTTTTTTAACAAAAACCCCCAAAACTCAAAAACTATTTGACATAGAAAAATTTTGTCAAAGGCCATCAAAGGCCTCTAATACTAAGGCTACGTAACACAATAGAAAGATTTAAAAAGTTTGCATATCTAATAGGTTAAAAAATTAATAATGTGACCCACATAAAAGAGCTATTATTTAAAGCCTGTCAGAGTACCCCTTCCAATTTCCGGGTTCTCTATTTTTTTGTAAAATATCTCCAGGTTTTGAAGCATTGTAGTAGAACTCTCCTAGTTACATATGCAAAAGACAAATTTTAGGAAAGTGTCAGTTTGCAAATGGGGGGTGTCGCCTCCCAATGGGGGAACTTTGACCATCTAATGGCCGCCGTGATGGGGTAACATTGACCGGCTTGGAAATTAAGTTAAAATTACCATAGGTACCTATATAACATATTCTATGTTTAATACACCTATTAATGTTTTTTTCTTTATGTTTCAGACTCTACAGAGTCTTATATATGGTAATTTTAACTTAATTTTCAAGCCGGTCTATGTTACCTCGCCACAGCTGCCATTAGGTGGTCTTATTTCGCCCATTGGGGGGCGGTGCCCCCAATTTGCAAACTATGACACTTCCCACAAATTTTCATTTGCATATGTAACTAGAAGAGTTCTAATACAATGCACCAAAACCTGGAGTTATTTGGAGTTATTTTACCAAAAAATAAAATTGATTTTACCACCCAGTCAAAGAAACCCCAAGAGCTGGGGTAACTAAGACCATCACTTTTTTTTTGAAATTACATCAAAACTATGAGAGGCAGGAGCCAGCAATTTATGGTGAGTAAATCTAGAGAATAGACCTGTATTTTGCACGTTTCAATTTAAGTTCAACTTATCTAGTAAAAATAAAACAAATAAAAACTTTTATAAACCATGTTTTCTTAACAGACAGAAAAGAAAAACATTCACTCTTACATACGGTAACATTTAAGTTATGTAAAAAGTTATGTAATGTTATGTAAGAGTAAATGTTTCTCTTTTTTCTCCATTAAGAAATCATGGTTTTTAAAAGTTTTTTTTTCATTTGTTTTATTTCACTATTTTTAGTTTTGTAAAAACCAGAAAAATTAGGTTTTTAAAAATATTTCTTATACGGTATTTACTGTCAACCAGGGCTACTCAGGACAGTTTGAGTGTTTTTTTGCTAACAACTGTTAATAACTTCTTACGATGAAACATTTCATAAACAAGTTTAGGCTCATTTTATAGCTCTTTGCGAGGGTTATTGAATGGCATTGTCAAAAAAATTCCATATGCTATTCCTAAGGTGCCAGAAGCAAAAAAAAACGAGTGTCCCGAGTAGCCCCGTCGAATGGGGCTACTCGGGACACTTGCAATAAAACTTCATTTTAAAATACTTGAAGCATGCAGAGCGTACTCATCCATTACTAACAGTACTCTGAAATCCTCCTCTTTCATTGTAGATGATGTAGAGGTAGAATAAATGACATTTTCAGTGATTTTTACTTGTTTTTCTTTCCTGATGATATTACCATAAACATTAATTACCGTCAACTGGGGTGACTTTGGCACGTTTTTTATTTTGTTTTGCAAATAAAAACGGGGTCCTAAAGGCCAGGGTCATAAACGCCAGGGTTGTGCCGTCGACCGGGGCTACTCAGGATGGTTTTGAGCGTTTTTTGTTAATAACTTCTTACGATGAAACATTTCATTAACAAGTTAAGGCTCATTTTATAGCTCTTTGCGAGGGCTATCGAATGGCATCTTCAAAAAAATTCCATACGCTATTTGTAAGGTGGTAGAAGCAAAAAAAAGAGTGTCCCAAGTAGCCCCGTTGAACGGGAATACTTGGGACACTGGGAATGAAACTTCATTTTAAAATATTTGAAGCATGCAGAGTGTACTCATTTATTACTAACAGTACTCTGAAGTCCTCCTCTTTCATTGTAGATGATGTAGAGGTAGAATAAATGACATTTTCTGTGATTTTTACTTGTTTTTCCTTTTTTGATATGATATTGCCATTACATTAATCACCATATTATTGATGTGACATCATATTATTGATGCAAATTGCAATATTACCGTATCCATGAACATGCCATTGAGCATTTACAACAACCTTGTCCACTGCAAGCTTCATATCAGCAGCCATATAGCATTTTTTCTGTATCTGTAAGCCTACAAGATGGCTTGTAATTTCACACCATTTTAATTGGGTTGAGTGAATTTACTATAAAAAAATATATAGTCAAATGGGGTAAGACAGGATCGCAGCCTTCATGGGGTAAGAAAGGACCGGCCCATGGCGTGCATTCTAACTGCTCTGAATTTGATTTGATGAAAGAATATGTTAGAGCAATCATTGCCAGTCATTTCAGTGTTTGTTTCAACCCTGTTCTGCAAATAATGGATTTTTGGTTAATTTTTAAAGAAAACCTATGTAAAGAAGGGTCACAAAATAGTTAACCCT